ATAGTATATGTATATATATATATATATATATATATATATATAGTAATACCATAGTATTTTTCCCTAGAGGTTATTCAGTTATGTAATGTTGGCAAATACCGCCCTGTAAACATGTGGAACTGTTCGAGCAACTGAATATCTCACAGTGTATGTTATTAGGCGAGTGTGTTTGTACTGGAGCTGGATAAATTACTCCCCGTCCTAATCTTGCTGTGAGGATTTTTTTTTTTTTTTCAGCAGAACAATTTTGGTTTAGCGCTCTACGTAGACAAAGGAAGCTCCGATCCAGCACGGCAACCCACAGCGTGAGCCAGGCAGGAGACAAAGAGCTTTGTGAGTGTTTCATGTGGAGGCCTGGCGAGAGGGAGAGTAGAGTGAGAATTGGCACTAGGCGGACCCAAACCTGAGTGCCCAGCGCAGCGTTATGCCCTCTTCACTTCCCAAGTCGTCGACTGATGTGGCACGAGCTTTGTCAGCAAGTGTACCTGCTTCTCTCCGGCTAAAAGGAAAGGCCCTATGAGCAGCGCCTAGGGAGTCAGATAGGAGCGCGGCGGCTGGCCCCGCAGGCTCGAACCTGCAGCCTGCTAGTCTGTGATGCCAGCAGTGTGGAGGCGCAATCTGCTTCAGCCTTTAGGGCAGGCTGGGATTACGAGCCTGGGATAGACGGTACTCTCAGCCCTAGACTGCCACCTACTGGCAGGGGCCTGGTACTGCAGTTTCTCTCCTGGACTTCAACCACAGCCAGCCTTAATTACAGCATGCTTCAGTTGTTGTGAGTGCATGTCAGAACAAATTATGTAAGTAATGAGGCTGAAAATGCTAAAGGAGTAGGAACACACTGGCGCGCTAATGCCCATGCCGAGAGAACACAAAAACAAACAACGGAGTGCACTAGCCGCATTTTTTTTTTTGTGCAACGCAACAGAGAAGAAATCATTATAATTTCCATTAATGATAAAATAACATGATCTGTAATATGAATTAGCAAATCTGGCAATTCTAGTGAAGAAGGTCTCCTGAGGATAAAACCGTTTATATCAGCAACCGCCATGCCGGCCAACTTGAAATGCACACTGTTATGCTGTTTACAGACATGTTGACCGAATGGACGGTGTGTACTGGCTGTCCAGGGTTAGTGGATCATTTGACAGAGAGAGACTAAGAGAGAGAGACCATTGGCCGCGACATTGACATTATCCAGATGACACAACAGGAGCTCGAAGGCAGATGATGAAATGGGCCGCTGCAGATACGTCACTCAGTGGTGGCAAATTTGATGCGTGCAAATTAATTCCGTACGATTGGATTTATAGGTTTCACTAAAATATTATCAAGCCACAGTATTTTTGCTGGAGGTAGGAAAGTAGCTGCGGGGACCTTTGGCTTGGGATCTAAGAGAACTAGAGGGAGCAATTTCTGTCAAGTAGAAATAAAATGCTTAGGCTACATTAAACAGGGACTGTTCAGCTGTAATCCGGCTGAATATAAAGTGAAGCTCTTGTATGTTAAGGTCTATTTTGCAATGGCCAGAGTTTTGGTTCAGGTCCTTTGATGTGATTCTATTGCTGTGGCCTTTGCTTTGAGATAACTGACTTTTATCAAGTAGTCTTTTAAGCAACTTGAGCCAGGTTTTATCGGAACCAATATCTGCAAGGAGTAGTTCACTTATAAATAGGAGTTCTGTCATCTTGTTGTTTCATCATATTGTTCCAAACCTGTATGACTGACTTTCTCACGTGGAACACAAAATGAGATGTTTAGAAGAATGTTCACGCTGCTCTTTTCCATACAATGAAAGTGAACAGGCACTATGGGTTGTCAAAAAGCTCAGTAAAAGCTGTCCAACTTGCTATATTCTGTATTCTAATTATATTCTAACTTCTCTAAAGTTATGGGGTAGATTAGTCTGTAGAATACATTTTCTGCTGCAGCTCTCGAATCTCATTAACATTCATGTATATTCAGATATGGTGTATCAAATCATGTTACGCTAGGGTCGACATCAATAATGGCAAATGTTATTGGTTATTGTGTCTCAAAACCAATCATAACTGCCAAGTAAATAACTTATGTTAAGTTGCTTTGGATGAAAGCGTATGCTAAACACGTAAATGTAAACTTAAGATATTATAACAAAAAAGCTGACATATGGTTTCAAAAGATTTGGAATGTAGCACATACACTGCTTTTAGATACTGTTAAGTTTTTGGTCACTATCCACTTTCATTGTATGGAAAAGAGCAGCGTGAACATTCTGCTAAATATCTGCTTTTGTGTTCCACAAAAAAACAAAAACGAAAAAAGAAAGAAAGTCACATGGGTTTCCAATGATGAGGGAGAGTAAATGACGACAAAATGTTTTTTGGGGGGGTAAATATCCTTTTAAATGTAGTAAAAAAGCCTTTCTTCACTCTAAACTTTATAGAGATGTCGTTGTGTTTTTCCAAACACTCAAACCTTCTTATTATCATCTTCTCTTTGTGTCAGCACTAGGCCTCTTGGACTGCGTCTCATGGTGACAAAATTATCCACTTAGTTTTAGGTTTTTAAGTTGAACAAGCAGCTTTGAACCGATATTCCAGTGGTGGAAAGGTTGGGTTTCTCCTGATATCACTGCCCAAAGGCTCTGCGGGGAACAGTGGCGCTTTATTGCGATTGCATTTGTTTCTAAATCACAGTCTGACATCACGTTTGCTGTGCTTTTTGAGGGTTTTCTGTTTAAAGTCAGGATGGCCTCCTCCAAACACGCCGCAGCCGAGGGTGGCAGGGACGTGATGTGTTTGAAGCTCGGCGCCGTTTCATGTCACAACATGCAGCCGTGGAGGAGGTGTTGCACGGTGACTGGTGACAGTGAAAAATCCTGACAGTATCTTCTCTCTTTTCTTTCTCCGCAGCTCAAATCGAAATAATTCCCTGCAAGATCTGTGGAGACAAATCATCAGGCATCCATTATGGCGTGATAACGTGTGAGGGCTGCAAGGTAAGAAGCTAAACAACCCTGTCAGCGCGTGTGTGACAAAGAAAAAGCCAACAAATGAGACATTTTGAAAAATAACAGAGAATTTTCTTTCGGATTATCGTCTTTCTAAGCAAGAAAAATGTACTATTGTGCTTACAGGACTTACAGAATTCACACTCCAGAGTGTTAACTCACATAGTCAGGTTGAAATGTTGCTAAAATCGTCACAATTACAATACAACAACAATATAATCCCTGTGTCTTGTCTTTCTTTACCTTCTGCTGCACTTTTTTAATAAAACAGTCATAATTAAGACATATGTGTATGGAGCTGTGGAGTGGGGTGTGTTAATGATGAGCTGGAATCAATTCATTAAGTCAAAGGGATGAGAAATCAACTCAACGTGGGCGCCTGCTCCTTCCCCCCTCGCGGCACCCACCGGTTCAGGCGCTTTTAGTCAACATTAATAACCTCGCACAAACTAGCCATTATTTACTACCTTTCTCGCCCGTCTCTGAACTCGCCATGCCAATCCTTAATGAGGAAAAATACTCGTTCCAAACTGCTTTTTATAGTTACCTCGGTGAAATATGTGCTGTTCAGATGTATCTCGACTAAAGATGAACATGTCTATATGATCGAGACAAGCGTTTGTAGAGTTGCCACCATCTGTTCAGAGTTTGCCACGGACATGTTGTTCTTTTGAGAACTTCATGTGAAATATGCGTTTGTAAGGTATAGAAACATGTCCATCCATTTGAGGTCAATTCACCAGGGTTATAATAAAAAAAATAAAAAAAAACTATTAAAAAAAGTTACTTGAAATTAATGTTAACTGAAATTATATATATATTTATGAAATTATTTATATATATATAACTTATTTTAATTCAGTTTTTCCACGTTTAAAAAATACATTCCCAAAAATAAAATGTATATTTTCGGTGTTTTTTTTTTTTTTTTTTTTTTTTTTTAACTAGTGGCCTTACTGGGCCAGCAGAAAATAACACATCCTTATGGTTGAGCTGTGAATGGGTTAACTAACCTTCTTTCGGTCTGTCTCTCGGGCCCGTAGGGTTTCTTCAGGAGGAGTCAGCAGAGCAATGCGGCGTACTCATGCCCGCGTCAGAAGAACTGCCTGATTGACCGCACCAGCCGGAACCGCTGCCAGCACTGTAGGCTGCAGAAGTGTCTGACCGTGGGCATGTCACGTGACGGTAAGCCCGTGTCCAGTACAGCAGGCACCAGAGGGAGAATAGAGTCTCCACAGATACAGAACATCAAATGCATGCAAAATACCAAATAGATCAGCATGTAAAGTGAATGTGCAATCTGACAGCGAGTTTTTTTTTTCCAGCTACGGTTAAAGAAAACCTTGAGTGCAATGAATAGAGTAAAAGGGGGATATATCATGGAAAATTTTTCAAACGTTGGACATACAGGCATCACAGGATGCATCTGTGAATAATTAAATTATTTTATATTTAGTGTATTTTATTATTATTATATCATCGATAAATAGATAGATAGATAGATTGAACTTTAATGAAATGATGAAGTAATGGAATATGTTTAGTCTTTTTCTACTTTTATTCACTACTTACCTTTTTCCCCAGTCTTGCCATGTCATATAAGTTAGAGTACCTGTTCTGTAGTCGGCACCTATTACTGATTAATTTTTCACCAAACTTTGAATTTAAGAGGCAATTGTGGTTCTGGACTGCGGGGCATGCTCACCCAGGGTGGAGAATCTGACAGCAAGTAGCTTTTATTAAATGAGCATCATTAAAACAGGCTCATTAAAGCCAATGCAGGTGAGCAGCATTAACGGGAGCACAGGTGATGTTATGTGTGTGTGTGTGTGTCTGTGTGTGTGTCTGTGTGTGTGTACCTGGTATTTATCACGTTATGGGGACCAAATGTCCCCACAAGGATAGTAATACTAGTAAATTTTGACCTTGTGGGGACATTTTTGAGGTCCCCATGAGGAAACAAGCTTATAAGTCTGTTTCTGTGTCTGTGTGTCTCTGTGTCTCTGTGTCTCTGTGTCTCTGTGTCTCTGTGTCTCTGTGTGTCTGTGTGTCTGTGTGTGTGTGTGTGTGGAGGCCCCCTACTGGGCCTCCGGCTGGGCTGTGTGACTACGGCCCGTGACAGGAGGATGAAATCAGGCCAGGTCTTCCGAGTCTACCGGGCTTCTCTCTCACACACAACCAGGACAGGCAAGGTGACTTCTGACTTCACTCTGCCTGAAGATCACCAGTCCCATCTGCCTTCCTTTCATGGGCACAGAGACGCAGAGCTACCCAGACACACACATGTCTGAGATGACGTTAGGCCTCCACTCTGAGTCATTCATATGCCTCCTATTCAGCGTTGATCCTGTGCCTCTTCTAAAAACCTCACCTGTCTCCTCATGTCTCGTCTTGTCTCTGCTCTGCATGTCTTAACCTTTGTTTCCTCTCCTCTAATTTTGTCTCATCTTTTTTCGAACATTATTTAGTCTCCTCCTGTTTAATCTGATTTCTCATTTCCAACTCTTCCCACTCATCAAATCTTATTTCTCATTGTCTCATTTCTTCTAATTTCTCCACTTCTTTCTTCAAATCTCATTTTGTCTCCTCTCATTTATTTTCTTGTCTCATCTCCACTTCTTTCTTCAAATCTCACTTTGACTCCTTACCTCTCACTTTGTTCCTGATTTTCCTCTTCTTGTCTCCTCTCTCTTGTTTCTTCTTGTTCCTCTCCTGGCCTCTTTTCAAATCTAATTTTCTCCTCTTCTCATGTTTCGTCTCCTCCTCTATCTTCAAATCTCATCTTGTCTCCTCTTCACAAGTCAAGCCTGGTCTTATTTGATCTCCTCATCTCATGTCTCAACTTGTCTCCAGTCCTGCCGTGTTGTCTCTTGTCCTTGCCATATCTTATCTCGTCTCATTTACTATCCGAAGCTCTCCTCACATCTTGTCTTGTCTCCTCATGTCTCATCTAGTCTCCTCTCAAGTCTCACATGTCCTCTAGTTTTTCTCTCCTCTTTTCAGATCGCAACTTCAAGTCTCCTCCCGCCTTCACCATCTCATTTCCTCTCTTCTGATCTTCACTCGTCTCCTTCCCTTTCTTTACGCCTTTCATTTTTCTTCTCTCCTCACATGTTGTCTCTTCTCCTGTCCTCCTCTTTCGTTATGTCTCGTCCTCTCTGCTCTGGTTGCCTCTCGTCTCCAACAGTCAAATCCCCTTGATCCCCTTCATTCTCCACTAAACTCTCCAGTACATTTATCTCTTTTTCCATCCATTAGTAGATCAGCTTGTCCTCTGCCAGGCGCCCTTCCTTTTTATGAACACTTGATCTCTACTTATATCTGATCCGCACTGTATCTCATCCCCAGCTTCCTGTTCTTCTAACACTCCTCCAGTTCAAAGACAAGCTGAAGCTGTAGCAGCTCTTTCTTTCTAAGCTAAACTGACTCCCTGCCACATCCTCCAGGTGTTGCGAGTGAAGGCCGTTCCTTTTTGTGAGTGCTTGTAAATTGACGATTCATGCTAGTCAGGTCTTCTGTTCTTGGATCATTTTGGCAAGTAGACATCAGGAGAAAGCTAATGCTATTACCATGTGGAGCTTTTTTTGACCCAATACACCGCTAATACCCTTTGAGAGACATTAAAACCTGCCTCCGGGAGTTAGTTGTACTCTCCATGTCGCTATACTGAGCTTTCCTTCAAAGGCCAGAGTCTTCAGGGAAAAGAGATTGTGCCTTTTGTTGTTTCTTCAGTAACAATGGCTATAGAGTGAAGTCATCATGTGCTGTTTTGGTGTGGTGGTTGGTAGCCAAAAGGTTGCTGGTCTGATCAACATAAACAGTAAGCTATGCGCCACCACCGCTGTCCCAAAGACACTTAAACTTACGTTGCACCAAACGGCGTGTCCCTGTAATAAGCGCATTCAGTTGTAGAAGTCAGAGAAACAAGTCAACCCAGCGGACTCTCAAGGCAATTCGTAACTATTGTACATTTTGATGAATTGATGACTAGTTTGCATGATATTGCATTTGTAAATATTCGTATTGTCTCATTTGTACATTTTCATATGATCTGCTTATGCCCCACTGATGGTTAGTTTTAGGGGAGGACTTTCATGCTGAAGAAAAACCCCATACATTTCAATGAATTCATACGAAATTGCCACTTCATAAAATAGTTGTTTTTTCATAAGATAGGGTTGGTCCGCCAGCCTAGTTAGACTTTTTCTGAATGCATTTGATTATATTTAGGGAAGTGTTCATAATTTGTGAGAGATTTCTGTTCTTAATGCACTGTCTTTGCCTCTTACAGCGGTGAAGTTTGGCCGGATGTCAAAGAAACAGCGGGACAGCCTCTATGCAGAAGTGCAGAAACACCGGCTCCAGCAGCAACAGCGGGACCACCAGCAGCAGCCCGGTGAGGCAGAGCCCCTTACCCCAACCTACGGCCTCTCCACCAATGGCCTGACCGAGCTCCACGATGATCTGAGTGGCTACATGAACGGCCACACGCCCGATGGCACCAAGCCCGACTCGGGCGTCAGCAGCTTTTACCTGGACATCCAACCCTCGCCTGACCAGTCCGGCCTGGACATCAATGGCATCAAGCCAGAACCCATCTGCGACTTCACCCCGGGCTCGGGCTTCTTCCCCTACTGTTCCTTCACAAATGGGGAGACATCCCCCACCGTTTCCATGGCCGAGTTGGGTAAGTGATAATTCTGGATGGGTAAGGGATGGTACTGGGGGAAGAACCCAACCGTGGGGCAAACGTCGCTAAAGGTGTCTTAAAATAGCATTAGGTCGGAGACTCATCTCAAAGACTCATTAACAGAACCTCTTTTTTTCTAATTAGTTTCCATTAATTAGGGCCAATCAGGATCCAGCAGGGCATGCGCCAAGGGAAATCATTTTTTTTAGCTTCCCCTCCTGCTCTGGGACTCCTTTTAACAGATGTGTTTTCAACATGATTGAATTTTTATACTTTTTTTTTCTTTCTCTCATTTCCATTCGCTTGTTCTTGCTGAAAGCAAATATAACCTTTGTTGCCATGAATTTACACGCACTCCTCACATTTATACTTGAAGTACTTCCCTATTTTCCTCTTGCACAGAAACACAGACGGTCAACAAGCTTCTAAATCGACTTAAAATCACAAACCGCTACAGTGCAGCTCTTTGATTGGAGACACAAATAAAACACTGCATCTTTTGAAAGATCTTTTTCCTCAGCATTTCTGTAAGCATAAATGAATCCGCCAGTAGGAAGAAGAGGTTTTTTGAAGGTATGTTGCATTGTGTTTCAGAACATCTGGCCCAGAACATTTCCAAGTCCCACATGGAGACGTGTCAGTACCTGAGAGAAGAACTCCAGCAGATGACCTGGCAGGCGTTCCTTCAGGAGGAGGTGGAGAGCTACCAGAGCAAGGTTAACACACATGTTCTTGAAGCGCCACATATGGTTGTTCAGAAGCTTTGGGCAGGGATCTTTGCAATTTAATGTCTTAACTTGCAGGGCTACTGATGAGGTGATGTTTTTGGGATCGAAAATGTTCTGACTGGTTGCATTAATAAGATGAACAGCCATTTAAGTGGCTACTTTAGAGTACTGTGTTTTCTTAAAAGATGCCAGTTTGTGGAGGGTAGAATGTGTTAAATGTAGAATCAGAATGTGTTAAATGTACAGTATCAAATCCTGTTTATTTTTCTAAGGGTCAGTGAGAGGGTATAAAATGGTCATGTAAAACGGAATTATGATTGGTACAAGAAGCCTTGATTAACAACATAAGTGTGCTTTAGGGGAAAAAAAAATTAAACTGCTAGTAAAGAATATGGCTGCATGTTGAAACTAGTTGTCTTTTGTTTCCCTTCAGCCCAGAGAAGTCATGTGGCAGTTGTGTGCCATTAAAATCACAGAGGCCATTCAGTATGTGGTGGAGTTTGCCAAGCGCATCGATGGCTTCATGGAGCTCTGTCAGAATGATCAGATAGTGCTTCTCAAAGCAGGTAAAGTGTGTGTTCACATCACCATCATCTGATCCCGGCTTAGTTTACAGGGCGTAAACACCAATAATTCCTTGCTGCATTGCCTGTGGCTACATTCGGATTAGCATACTGCTATAGCAGTATATATAATGTGCACAGTATGCATTTGCCAAAATTTGCAGTATACAACAGAAGCCCTTTTTCACCAAGGGAATAAAAAAAAAAAGTAATTGTGGCTCTTCATTGCACAATTCTGACATTTTTTTCTCACAATGCTGAGAATTTAGAATTGTGAGACATGAACACAGAATTGCGAGATATAAACTCAGAATTTCACTCTTTTTCATGCAATTCCGTTTACGACTTATGACTTATCTAGCAATACTGACTTTTTTCTCTGAATTTTGAGTTTACATCTCAGTTATTTTTTTTTTCGCGCAATGGAATAAATGTTTTTTAAAAAGTAATTGCGTCTTTTTCTCACAATTCAGTCTTTTTTCTTGAAATTGTTTATTTCTCACAATTCAAACTTTTCTTCTCACAATTTTGTTTATATGTGTCAATACATCATTTTTTTTTTTCTCAGAATTGCGAGAAACAAAGTCCGAATTGTGAGATAAAAAGATGCAATTACCTTTTTTATTCATCAGGTGTGCTGAATGAACTGAAGGAAACATTTTTTTCTTGATTTTACTGAAAAATATTAATTAAGGCATTTTAACATTTCAACATTTCAGAATACTCTTAGTTGCATACTCCACTTTTTTTTTTTCTTTTTTTACATACTGCTTAAAATAGTATACTGCACAGTAAGCAATATGCAAGTATTCCATTCCGAACACAGCCGATGTCACACAGCAGGACGTGCAGTGCTTCAGCCGAGTATCTCTTGTGTATACAGAAAAACTGTATCGGGACAATCTGTCAGCTCTTTGAAAAATAAGGCATTATTGAGATGATATCCACCACTGCACACTATCTCCTCACAAAATAATGGACCAAAGTGCTCCATGACACTCACACCCCATCCCTGTCATGATCCCAACAGCTTTCAGTGTTTCTGTTTGTTCCAGGCCCGACCAAAATTATTAACAAAATACTGAGTGAGCACTCTCTCCTGACAGGACATTTTAAACCACCGCCATCTTTCTAAAGCTCCGTAATGGCTTCTATTACGTGGCTTTTATCCTCTAAGCCTGTGCTCACCAAAGCACTCCACTGTAGAATTACTGCTCCCACTCACAACAATAACAGAAACACACTCCACCTGAGACACACACACACACACACACACACAGAGCACTGCTAAAAAAAATCTGATTGGTGAGTTAATAAAGTTGTTTTATGATACTGCTCTTTGTTACGATATGAGCACACTGCTTATGGCCAGAAACATACTTTAAGCAAGTATGCAAATACTAACCTTATGCTTATTCTCATTATAGCACCCCTTGTGGCAGTGCTGAGAATGTAACATATAAACTGAAAAGTGCAGTTAGAAGCATTTACCTTCACATATTTCTGTTTTTAGCTAATCTCGTTATGATATAAACACACTGCTTATGGCCAGAAACATTCTTCTAGCAAGTATGAAAATACTAACCTTATATGACAAACCTAGCATCAAATGTCTGTACCATTAAACCACGTGTTGTCATTCAGATAGCTAACTATAAATGTCGACAGCTTAGCTAATTTCAGCTAACTTACTGAGCAAGATTCTCTTGTTGCTCCGCCATTACAGAAGTCGGCCTAAATGAGAACGAATTGTAGAAGTAGACTATTTATGCTCATTTTCACTATTGCACCCCTTTTTAGCGTGTCTCATTATGATATAAACACACTGCTTATGTCCAGAAAAATTCTTCAAGCAAATATGCAAATACAAGATTCTCATTAAATCACAGTAATCAACATGAATGAGAAAACTTATTGTAGAAGAAGACGGTTTACACTAATTCTCGCTATTGCACCCCTTGTGGCAGTGCTGAGAATGCAACATGTATAAACTGTGAAAAATGCAGATAGAAGCATTTGCCTTCACATATTTCTAAGCATACCTGTTTTTGATTACCGTATTGACCCGAATATAAGACGATGTTTTTTTTTCTTGGAAATACATCTGAAAAAACGCGGTCGTCTTATATTCAGGGTCTAGACTTTGACATGTCAATAATACACCCACAACAGTAGGTGGCGCCAAATACGCATAAAACGAGTGTGCCATGAAATACGTAATGTAATGCGTGTTGTAAAGATCGCGAGTAAAAACAAAAAAAAAATAAAACCTTACAGCTGCATGAGTCGTCACTGTCACGTTAGCCTGATGGGACCAAACTCTGTTTGTGATTTTAAAACGTAAGACAGTACCCAGATTTGAAGACTACAGTAAGATTTAACTTCTGGAAAAAGGGGGGTCGTCTTATAATCAGGGTCGTCTTATATTCGGGCCAATACGGTATATAAAATCACATTTTGTTTCTCTTTCGTCTATGCGTAGGCTCTTTGGAGGTGGTGTTCGTCAGAATGTGCCGTGCCTTCGACCCTCAGAACAACACAGTCTATTTCGACGGAAAGTATGCGGGGCCTGATGTCTTTAAGTCATTAGGTGAGTTACGAAAGCCGATTGCATTTGGTATGTGAAGTGGAAATTCTGTGTTTGGGATATCATATGCGAGTGTTTTGCTTATTTGTGTTCTTTTTTGTTCTAACTGTCAACTAAGGCTTCATTTCGCACATGGCAACAGCATTCAAATGCAGGCAGAACCCAACCAATTTGCCTAACTGCAAGAAACGTCAAAATTGTTTTGTACACACACCTGTATGCAGGATCCAAAATCTGCCAACGCAAATATATAAATAAAACTATATTACTTAAAAAACATGATGATAATTATTTCTATATAAATAATTATACACTTAACTAATTAACATTTAAATCAATATTGTAAATACAAAGAGGTAATATGAATGAATGAAATGCATTTTTTTTTAATTAAATAAAATTGCAATTTTACTCGGATTTGGCACTCGAGTGTTAATTTTGGACGCTGTGTGTACGCAAGCAAATAAAGCCCACCAGGTCGGCACCAGCTTCTCATATCCGCCACACCTGGAGTTAAACTTTCCTCGCTGAGGATGCTGCTCAGGATTGCGGTACCTGCTGCGTATGGTGGGCGTCTGGAACTGCATAAGCAAGATTGAGTGTCTACCAGGAGTGTTTTATCAAACCCGCAGCACGCAGCCGTAGCCTGGGCGTAGAATTTTCCTAGAGTAAGCAAATAGCATTTATGTTTGAATGCCGTGACATTAGTGAAATCTCTTCTCTGTCATTATGCACTCACATTGGAAACCCTTTGGGCCTGAAAGCTGTCCAAATGCCAAAACAAACACGCATATGAGAAATCTAGAGATAAATATGTCACAGCCTCCAAGACAACATTCAGTCATATCTCACATGGATGTCCTCAGCCTTATGTCTTATTCCTGTCATATATGAGGCACATTTAACAAGCCTGCATGGGTTCGCCAAGCTTAAACCTGTAGCTCTGAAACTGGTATGAAAACTACTCAACACACAAATTATTTAGCATTTTTCAATGTTTAATTTCCAATATCTAATTTATTTATGAGTCTGATATAGAACTAAACTAAAACTCACATTATTACTTAATAGGCGCTGTGTTCAACAATGTTTTCAAGCTGCAATCGATATAAAAGGCGAGATATGATTCTAAACAGGAAAATCATCTAAACTATATTTATTATTTATGTGTTTGAAACATAATGCAGCATGTGCATATTAATTCATGCAAATACAGTGCAATCCTTTCTAAATATTCTTGTGTGGTGTTTGTGTGTTTTAGCTTTAGTGTGATTCTTCCACATAATATGGAAATGTGTGAACAGGTGGTATTCAACACAACTTTGAATATTTTATTTCAATTATTTGCCATTTTTAATGCTTAATTTCTAGTATCTGATTTATTTACAAGTGTAATATAGATTTGTGCATCTAAGACCAACAATATCACAATTTTTCAAGTTTTCCAGCTATGATTGATATAAAAATGTTAATTTCTTAAAATAATAAAATTAAAAAATTTAATGTTAAAATGTGTACTATTTATGTGTTTGAACGGGACTGCAAATGTTATATTCATGCAAATACAGTGCAATCCTTTCTAAATGTTACTATAGTGATGTTTTTTGTGTTCAGATTTAGTGCGATCTTTCCACGTTTGAAAAATATGGAATGTTGCTCTAGTCCTAATGCTTGCGTTCAAAATGAAAGACAAAATTCGAGGGAACGGTGGTGCTTGGCTTGGAAAGTTTGAGAACTGCTGCTGTAGACTATCTCCCAGTGTTTGCGTGAGCTCTGAGTCATGGGTTTTATTCGGTGTTGTTAGTGACCCCAGTCATGGTTACGTAACCCCTCTCATTCGCCATAGCATGATTAGCCTGGAGGGGGGAAAATGTGGCGGCAAAAATCATTCTGTAATGCTAAAGGATTGTATTGTTTTTAACTCTGTGCCACCCCGACATCTCATGCTAAAAGATCAAGTGTCTACCCGACTCTGTCTGCTGCTCTGTCTCACCCGCCACCCTCTTTTTTTTTTTTTTTTCACTGATTTTTTCT